ATGGGCTGCACGTGATTGGCTAATGGATACTGTTAAACAATACTGAAGTATCAGATCTGGAAGGACATGGTAATAGATTTGGTTAGCATGCTTAATTTTGGTATGAGAAAACAAAGGTGCATGAGGGATTCCTGAACCACATTATAAGGAAATCAATTCACCAAGTATGGGACAAATATAAGAATTTATTAGAGAACAAGACACCTTTGTGGCTTTCCCCATTAGAAACCGTATCTGTAAAAAGAGGTAAACACGAAACTGGGCAACATACAAAGATCTGTTAACAGAAGTAGAAAACAAAGGTGAAAGAATATGAGGATATAAAAGCTCTGTTAACAGGTTGGTTACAATATTGCCAAATAAATGACATATTCAGAGGTGACAAAGAGAAGGACTTTGGGAAGGAATTCCTCAAAGTTCAAAAATGAATTATTAGAAAATAATGAGAAATTGTTATCAAAGAAATGTACAAACCACTGCCTGGAATGGGAGACGAAAGATGAAGAGGTTAAAGCTGTAATGATACACTTGGGCAAAGACATAGGTTATAATATAACCACTTGAATCATAGGAAAAGCTGTGGAAAGAGATTTTAAAAATTCACGGCATTGTAGTTCATTAAAAGAAAATTATATGAAGATGTACTGATGGTATTTGACTCCAGTAAAGCTTGCTGAATGTATAAAGAGATCCCTAATTTATGCTGGAAATGTAAGGATAAGGAAGGAACTATTTTTTTCAATGTGGTGGACGTGTAAAAAAGTAAAGGGCTTTCTGGGAAATGATACACAATGAACTTTTTAAAATTCTTAAATTACGTTTTGTTAAAAAAAAAACCAGAGGCTTTTTTATTAGGAGTAATAGTAGAAGAATTGCCAAGGAAGCAGAAGAGACTGTTTATTTATGCGACTCAGTGGCGTAGTGTGGGGGATGCAGGGGGGGGGGTCGGGCGCAACATCTGGGGGGGGGGCGCTCGCCGCCTCCAGAGTCGCCGAAGAGCCTCGGGCGCAGGCTGTAGCAGAGCCCCATGGCTGCAGCCCAGGCAGCAGCAAGAAGAAGCTGGCAGCGGCGGCAGGTAGGGGTTAGGGGCGCAAATTACTTGCCTTGCCCCGGGTGCTGACAACCCACGCTACGCCACTGATGCGACTACAGCAGCCAGAATGCTACTAGCCCAGATGTTGGAAAGAAGGAAAGGTCCCAACGAAAGAAGAATGGATGACTAGATGACTGGCTAAGAATATAATTATATGCAAGGTGAATAAAGGGGGGGGGGGAATGGAAACCAGGGGGGCAAGGGGGGGAAAGCCATTTATTGCAAATTTGGATTGGATATCTGTGTACCAAAAGGAAAAATGTTATTTTGAAAATTGAAAATTAGAAAAATATATTTTTTAAAAAAAATAGTTTAGAAAACGTTTTGGGGCGCCCCGTGCAGCTGATCCAGCGGGGCTTTCCGGAGGCGAGACCAGCGCCTCTCCTGCTTTCTGCCCGGAGAATCCCAGAGGCTCCTGCCGCTCGGCTCCGAAACGGTTAAGAGCAGCGGCGACAGAGCTGAGATTCCTAGAGCGGAAGAAAAAAAAGGCTGTCGGGAGAATAGCAGCTTCCGCTTCCTGTCCCGCTTTTGGCGGGGTGGCAGATGCCGGTCATGGCGGCGGCTTTCCTTCCTCGCGGAGGCGCTGGAGGTGGGTCATATTGTTATATATTATTACGGGGGGGGGTGGAGTGGGGGTGCTGCTGGAGGGAGTTGTGGGGAGGGATTTTTTTTTAAAAAAACCCTGTTAGGCAAACCGTTTCAATGTAAGTTTTTTTTCTTTGTCTCTTTTTTCTAGTCGTCAGTTTATCCAGATTTTCACATTTTTAAAGATCTCTTGAAAATTGGTCAGCATTTTGGTGCAGATCTCGCCTAATGCTCACGCTTTTGCAAATGGTATTTCCCCAAATATTTACATTTCCAATAATTAATGCATTTTCATTTAATTCCGCTAAAATAATGCATTTATATGGCTTTCCCCCTTTGTATGGGGGTAGGACATCTTTTCCCAATGGAAGGGAGGATCTTTCTCCTGCCTCTCCTCCCTGCAGGCCAACTTGGGCAGGTGGGGGACCTTCCTTGGGCTCCCCATAGGGCTTGGGGTCAAGGCAAAGCCTTAAGCATTGGGAAACCTACTTCAGGGGCTGCCCCTGGAACCTGTAATAATTTTTATCCGGCCTGATTTTATTATAATTTATTAAATTGTATACCTCCCTGTACCCACAGGCCTTAGGGCAGTTCACAGGATAAAATCGCAATATAAAAACTCAAAGTACATAATCAAAACATAAAATCACCCAATAACGCCCCCCAAACCATACACATTTTAAAAATTTGTGTTTAAATTAAATACAAGCAGTTCTGGGCAGAAGAGGTTAAAAAGAGGAGAAACAAGCACTTCAAGTCCACATTAAAATTACAAGCGTGGCTGAGGCCTTACTTAGACAGGCTAATACTATTACTATTACTACTCCCAACACCCCTGAGCACCCTCTCCCACCAGTGTCTTGCCTCGGTAATGGACTGGATGAAAGCCAACAATTGAAGCTCAATCCAGATAAGAGTGAGGCTCAGTTAGTGGGTGGTTCCCTAGAGCAGATGGCTGGAAGGTCGCCTGCTCTTGATGGGGTTACACTTCCTCTGGAGGAGCAGGTTCATAGCTTGGGGGTTCTCCTGGATCCTTTGCTGTTGCTTAAGGCTCAGATGGCCTGGAGTGCCTTCCATCACCTTTGGCTGGTGGCATCACCTTTGGCTGGTGGCCCAGCTACACCCCTATCTGTACAGGGATAGCCTATCTAACCGTTATCCATGCTCTGGGAACTTCAACGTTAGATATAGATATGCGTTATACATAGGGCTGCCTCTGAAGACAGTTTGGAAACTTCAGCTAGTGCAGAATTCAGCGCCAGGTTGCTCACCGGAGTAAGGCGGGTGAGCATATTACCCCCATCCTGGTCCAACTGCACTGGCTACCAGTTAGTTTCCGGGCTTAATTCAAGGTGCTGGTTTTGACCTATAAAGCCTTACATGGCTCAGGATCACAATACTTCAAGGGCTGCTTCTTTCCATATGAACCTAAGCCCGATCCTGAGGTCCTCCTTCATGGGCCTCCTCCTCAGTGGTCTGGAGGGTGACTGCGCGTCTGTGGAATGCTCTCCCCAGGGAAGTTCACCTGGCGCCTTCCTTATACACCTTTGTTTTTGTTTAGTCATCTTAGTTGTGTCCGACTCTCCGTGACCCCATGAATCAGAGCATGCCTTGGAAATTCCACTTTCCTCTCAAAGCTTCTCATTTTTTATGTCCATGGGAGCTTTCATGGCATAATACTGGAGTGGGTTGCCAGTTTCTTCTCCAGGTGGATCACATTTAGTCTAAACTCTCGGCTGGCCTGTCTGTCTTGGGTGGCCCTGCATGGCATAGGTCATAGCTTCTCTGACTTATTCAAGCTCTTTCGCCACGACAAGGCAGTGATCCATGAAGGGATATACACCTTTAAGTGCCATGCAAACATGTTCCTTTTTAACCAGGTCTTTGCTTGATATGTTTGACATCCTATAGTCCTTTTTCAAAGGTGGCTCTTTTGGGGCGGGGTATTGGGTTGTTATTTTTTTTCTGATTACATATGATGTGATCTTTTCTGCGAACCACGCTGAGTCCTCCGGGTTAAGGCGGTATATAAACTCAATAAACAATAATACCATATTAATACTTTCATTATTGCTACCCCACGGATCTGACTGGGTTCCCCAGCCACTCTAGCTGGCTCTAACAAATATAAAAGCATAATAAAACATTTAAAACTTCCCTCTACATGGCTGCCTCCAGTTGTCTTCTAAAAGTTATATAGTTGTTTGTTTCCTTGACATCTGATGGGATAGCTTTCCACAGGGTGGGCACCACTACCAAGAAGGCCCTACGTCTCGTTCCCTGTAACTTCCCTTCTCACAGGGAGGGAACTGCCACAAGGCCCTGGGACCTGGATCTCTGTGTCCTGACTGAATGATTGGGGTGAAGACGCTCCTTTAGCATTTCCATCAGTTTGCCTTTTATTCCATCAGGAGATGTTGAAGGGATGCTGGCAGAAGGGGGACAATCAGAAGTGTCACCAAAAGAATCCAAAGAGCAAAGGAAGCTGAGGGTTCAAGATGGAAGCCGAAGGCGAGAAGGGAGACGAAAGCAGAAGCCGGAGGGTGACTCTTGTACGTCTCAGGGTGGTGAAAATCAAATTCCTAGAGAGGAGAAAAAGCAATGAATGCACCGTGTGTGGAAAGAGATTTGGTCGTCGCTCAACTCTTACTTTACATCAAAGAACTCATACAGGGGAAAAACCCTATACATGTTCTGAGTGTGGAAAGAGCTTCAGTGTCAGTGGTAACCTACCCTTGCATCAAAGAACTCATACAGGGGAGAAACCGTATACATGTTTAGAGTGTGGAAAGAGCTTCAAGTGTCCAGTGGTAACCTTACCTCGCATCAAAGAACTCATACAGGGGAGAAACCGTATACATGTTAGAGTGTGGAAAGAGCTTCAGACGATGGTGGCCAAGCTTAGTACGCGATCAAAGAATCTCATACAGGGGAAAAACCGTATACATGTTCAGAGTGTGGGAAGGAGCTTCAGTGAGAATGGTGCCCTTACCCTCGCATCAAAGAACTCATACAGGGGAGAAACCGTATAAATGCTTGGAGTGTGGAAAGAGCTTCAGTCACTGTAGTGCCTTTATCTTGCATCGAAGAACTCATACAGGAGAGAAACCGTATACATGTTCGGGAGTGTGGAAAGAGTTTCAAGTCACCATTGGTGCCCTTACCTCACATCAAAGATCTCATACAGGGGAAAAACCGTATACATGTTCAGAGTGTGGAAGGAGCTTCAGTCGGAGTAGCACCTTAAGTCGCATCAAAGAACTCATACAGGGGAGAAACCGCATACGTGTTTGGAGTGTGGAATGAGCTTCGCTCACCGGCAATGGGCTTGCTAGACATCAACAAACTCATCAAGGCAGCAAACCTTATAAATGCTGGGAATGGTGGCAAGAGCTTCAGTCGCATTGACAACCTTTCCTCGCATGAAAGGATTCATACAGGGGAGAAACGATATACATGTTTCGAGTGTGGAAAGAGCTTCAGCTACAGTTCCAGCCTTACCTTTGCATCAAAGAACTCATACAGGGGAGAAACCCGTGTACATGTTTAGAGTGTGGAAAAAAGCTTCAGTCAGAGTAGCTCCCTTAAGTCGCATCAACGAACTCATACAGGGAGGAAATCTTAGAAATGTTTGGCGTATGGAAAGAACTTCAGTGGCAGGGGGCTCCCTTCCTAAACCATAAAGAACTCGTACAAGGGAAACATCTTAGAAAGGGTTGTCGTGTGGGAAGATCTTTAATCATAACAAATAACTCCTACAGAGAGTAAACCAATGATCGTGTTCTGGTCCCCCAGGACAGCCATTATTGGTATTGGAAGAACTTTCTGACAGTAAGAGCTGTTTTGACATGGAACAGTCTCCCTCGGTGGGAGGTGGGCTCTCCTTCCTTGGAGGTTTTTAAGCAGAGGTTGGATGGGCTTCTGCTATGGATGCTTTAGCCGAGATTACTTTCATTGCTGGGGGTTGGAGTGGATGACCCTTTTGTTGTTTAGTCGTTTATTCGTGTCCGACTCTTCATGACCCCATGGACCAGGCACTCCCGTCTTCCACCACCTCCCGCAGTTTGGTCAGGCTCATGTTTGTAGCTTCGAGAACACTATCCAACCATCTCGTCCTCTGTCGTCCCCTTGTCCTTGTGCCCTCCATCTTTCCCAGCATCAGTGTCTTCTCCAGGGAGTCTTCTCTTCTCATGAGGTGGCCAAAGTATTGGAGCCTCAACTTCACTATCTGTCCTTCCAGTGAGCGCTCAGGGCTGATTTTCTTAAGAATGGATATGTATTCACCATCTCTTTGTGAACTCTCTTCCTGGCCCTAAGATCTATGTAAAGATTAACAAACTACATCAAAGTAACCTATGAACTTTTAAGACCTAGGGTGCCTAGTTCAGCAACTGGTCTGTGTCCTAGAATGCTTATACGTGCTTGTCAGACAGAGAGAAAAGGCAGTAGAGAAAAATGGTGTAGATGCAGAGGCTTGTGGGATTTGATCAGAAATTTTTGTCAATGAATCATAGAATCATAGAGTTGGAAGAGACCACAAGGGCCATCGAGTCCAACCCCCTGCCAAGCAGGGAACACCATCAGAGCACTCCTGACATATGGTTGTCAAGCCTCTGCTTAAAGACCTCCAAAGAAGGAGACTCCACCACACTCCTTGGCAGCAAATTCCACTGTCGAACAGCTCTTACTGTCAGGAAGTTCTTCCTAATGTTTAGGTGGAATCTTCTTTCTTGTAGTTTGGATCCATTGCTCCGTGTCCGCTTCTCTGGAGCAGCAGAAAACAACCTTTCTCCCTCCTCTATATGACATCCTTTTATATATTTGAACATGGCTATCATATCACCCCTTAACCTCCTCTTCTCCAGGCTAAACATGCCCAGCTCCCTTAGTGGGTCCTCATAAGGCATCGTTTCCAGGCCTTTGACCATTTTGGTTGCCCTCCTCTGGACACGTTCCAGTTTGTCAGTGTCCTTCTTGAACTGTGGTGCCCAGAACTGGACACAGTACTCCAGGTGAGGTCTGACCAGAGCAGAATACAGTGGCACTATTACATTCCCTTGATCTAGATGCTATACTCCTATTGATGCAGCCCAGAATTGCATTGGCTTTTTTAGCTGCCGCGTCACACTGTTGGCTCATGTCAAGTTTGTGGTCAACCAAGACTCCTAGATCCTTTTCACAGCTTCTCAAAAGCTTCTCCTTTTTTTATGTCCATGGAGCTTTCATGGCATAATACTGGAGTGGGTTGCCAGTTTCTTCTCCAGGTGGATCACATTTAGTCTAAATCTCTCGGCTGACCTGTCTGTCTTAGGTGGCCCTGCATGAGCATAGGTCATAAGCCGAGTTATTCAAGCGCCTTCGCTACGACAAGGCAGTGATGCATGAAGGGGGTATACACCTTTAGTGCCATGCAAACATGTTCCTTTTTAACCAGGTTTTTGCTTGATATGCTTGACATCCTATAGTCTTTTTCAAAACATGGCTCTTTTTTGGGGGGTGTTATTGGGTTGGGTTTTATTCTGATTATATATGATGTGATCTTTTCTGTGAACCATGCTGAGTCCTCCGGGTGTAGGGCAGTATATAAACTCAATAAATAATAATACCATATTAATGCAATACTAATACTTTCATTATTTGTACCCCACGGATCTGACTGGGTTTGCCCCAGCCACTCTAGCTGGTTTCTAAACCAAAATATAAAAGCATAACAAAACATTTAAAACTTCCCTCTACATAGCTGCCTCCAGTTGTCTTCTAAAAGTTATATACTTGTTTGTTTCCTTGACATCTGACGGGATAGCTTTCCACAGGGTGGGGCACCACTACCAAGAAGGGCCCCTATGCCTCGTTCCCTGTAACTTCCCTTCTCACAGTGAAGGAAACTGCCACAAGGCCCTGGGACATGGATCTTGGTGTCCTGACCTGAATGATTAGGGTGAAGACAGTTCCTTTAGTCATTTCATCAGGTTTGCCTTTTTATTCCATCAGGAGTTGTTGAAGGGGATGCTGGCAGAAGGGAACAATCAGAAGTGTCACCAAAAAGGATCCAAAGAACAAAGGAATCTGAGGGTTCAAGATGGAGGCAGCAGGCGAGAGGGGAGACGAAAGCAGAAGCCGGCGGGTGACTTTGGTACGTTTCAGGGTGTTGAAAATCAAATTCACAGAGAGGAGAAAAAGCATGAATGCAGCGTGTGTGGAAAGAGTTTTGGTCGTCGCTCAACTCTTACTATACATCAAAGAGTACACACAGGGGAGAAACCGTATACATGTTTAGAGTGTGGAAAGAGCTTCACTCACAGTACTGCCCTTATCTTGCATCGAAGAACTCATACAGGAGAGAAACCATATATATGTTCCGAGTGTGGAAAGAGCTTCAGTGAACGTGGCCATCTTACTAGGCATCAAAGAACTCATACAGGGGAGAAACCATATATGTGTTCCGAGTGTGGAAAGCGCTTCAGTGAACGTGGCCATCTTACTAGGCATCAAAGAACTCATACAGGGAAGAAACCGTATAAATGCTTGGAGTGTGGAAAGAGCTACAGTCACTGTGGTGCCCTTACCTTGCATCAAAGATCTCATACAGGGGGAAAAACTGTATACGTGTTCAGAGTGTGGAAAGAGTTTCAGTCACATTGGTGCCCTTACCTCACATCAAAGATCTCATACAGAGGAAAAACCGTATACATGTTCAGAGTGTAGAAGGAGCTTCAGTCGGAGTAGCACACTTAAGTCGCATCAAAGAACTCATACAGGGGAGAAACCGCATACTTGTTTGGAGTGTGGAATGAGCTTCGCTCGCAGCAATGCGCTTACTAGACATCAACAAACTCATCGAGGCAGCAAACCTTGTAAATGCTGGGAATGTGGCAAGAGCTTCAGTCGCATTGACTACCTTTCCTCGCATGAAAGAATTCATATAGGGGAGAAACAATATACATGTTTGGAGTGTGGAAAGAGCTTCAGTCGCATTGACTACCTTTCCTCGCATCAAAGAATTCATACAGGAGAGAAACCGTATACATGTTCAGAGTGTGGAAGGAGCTTCAGGTGCAGTAGCTCCCTTATGTTGCATCAACGAACTCATACAGGAGAGAAACCATATACATGTTTGGAGTGTGGAAGGAGCTTCAGTCACAGTAGCTCCCTTAAGTCGCATCAAAGAACTCATACAGGAGAGAAACCGTATACATGTTCAGAGTGTGGAAAGAGCTTCAGTCACCATAGCGCCTTTAAGCCGCATCAAAGAACTCATACAGGAGAGAAACCATATACATGTTCGGAGTGTGGAAAAAGCTTCAGTCACCATAGCGCCTTTAAGTTGCATCAAAGAACTCATACAGGAGAGAAACCGTATACATGTTCGGAGTGTGGAAAAAGCTTCAGTCGCAGTAGCTCCCTTAAGTCGCATCAAAGAATTCATACAGGAGAGAAACCGTATACATGTTCAGAGTGTGGAAAGAGCTTCAGTCAGCATAGTGCCTTTAAGTTGCATCAAAGAACTCATACAGGAGAGAAACTGTATAAATGCTTGGAGTGTGGAAAGAGCTTCAGTCGTAGTGGTAACCTTACTAGCCACCAAAGAACTCATAGAAACTCATAGAACTCTTAGAAATGTTTGGCGTATGGAAAGAACTTCAGTGACAGGGACTCCCGTCCTAAACAGTAAAGAACTTGTACAAGGGAAACATCTTAGAAAGGGTTGGCGTGTGGGAAGAATTTTAATCATATGAAATAATTCCTACAGAGAGTAAATCAATGATCGTTGTTCTGGTCCCCCCAGGACAGCCATTATTGGAGTGGAAGAACTTTCTGACAGTAAGAAGCTGTTTTGACAATGGAACAGTCTCCCTCGGGAGGTGGCGGGCTCTCCTTCCTTGGAGGTTTTTAAGCAGAGGTGGGATGGGCTTCTGCTATGGATGCTTTAGCCAAGATTACTTCATTGCTGGGGGTTGGACTAGATGACCCTTGGGGTCCCTTATAACTACAGTTCTATGATTCTATATACATCATCTGCTAGACAGCTGTAGTCACAAGCTTGACAAATCCGGAGATATACTTGATATCAGATAATGCCAATATTATTCACTTGGACTGTGCTGTTTGAATCCATGTACAATTCTAGGTGCCTATTTTATAGTTTTGCTTTTCATATCCTAATTTTTCATCTGCTGTTATATGTAGCATTTCCAAAGCAAGGAAGGATTGGACTCTGATTAATAAAATACACACGAGGCTTGACCAGCAAGACTTTGGGAGGGGTGCATATAATAATTCTCTTCCCCCCCCTTGGCCCAGGTTGTTTTATTCACAAAAGAACTTTTTACACAGTGTTCGTAAGAACTATCAGATTTCCTCTGAGCATTTCAAAAAACCCCACGTGGGATAAAGTCAGATCAGTAAAGGAAGGAAGGAAGGGTAGTATTCACCATCTCTTTGTGAAGTCTCTTCCTGAACTCTCTTCCTGGACCTAAGATCTATCTAAAGATTAACAAACTACATCAAAGTAACCTATTAACTTTCTGGCCTAGGATGCCTGGTGCAGCAACCGGCAACTGGTCTGTGTCCTAGAATGCTTATATGTGCTTGTCAGACATAGAGAAATGGCAGTAGGGAAAAATGGCGTGGATGTAGAGGCTTGTGGGATTTGATCAGAAATTATTGTCAATGAATCAAACCCAGTCAGCGCAATGCTTTCATCGCGGACACAATGGCTTGATGCATATTTTATCATTCCTCATAGTAATCCCGTCTGATCGCTACAGTTATAGCTGCTATCTCTGTTTCATGTGCATCATAAAATGAAACAGAAAAAATCTTTACAAAAATAAAATATTTATGAATTTTTTTTAAAACCCTCATGAGTCCCACCTACACTAGAAAAAATTAATGGGATCTGTTCACATCCCTCATGGTTAGCTTACTGCAATGCACCGTACAAAGAGATATTGTAGAAGGTTGGGCCACAGGCTGTAGCTGGTGCAGAACGCAATAGCCAGGTGGCTTGTGTGAGCAAGGTAAAAAAAGGTAAAGGATCCCTGAACAGTTAAGTCCAGTCAAAGGCAGCTATGGGGTTGCAGCGCTCATCTTGCTTTCAGGCTGAGGGAGCTGGCGTTTGTCCACAGACAGCTTTCTAGGTCATGTGGCTAGCAGGACTAAACCGCATCTGGCGCAATGGAACACCGTGACGGAAACCAGAACTCACGGAAACACCGTTTGCCTTCCTGCTACAGTGGTACCTAATTACCTACTTGCGCCGGTGTGCTTTCGAACTGCTAGGTTGGCAGGAGCTGGGGCAGAGCAGCAGGAGCTCACTCCGTCACACAGATTCGAACCGCCAACCTTCCCATCAGCAAGCCCAAGAGGCTCAGTGGTTTAGACCACAGTGCCATCCACGTCAGGCTTGTGGGAGAAAACTACTGCCAGCATAGAGCAGCCTGCTAGTGGGATTTGCACTTGCTACCAATCTGCTACTGGGCTGAGTTCAAGGAGTTTGTACTCACATGCAAGTCCCTGTTCTGCTCAGTCCCAGATATACAGCAGAGATTCTCCTGCAAGTTCCAAATATCTCCAAAGCACAGACCCAGAATGGGGCTTTTAGTGTCACTGTCTGTGTTCTGTGGAATGGCATCCCTTGGGGGGCAGGAATTGGGACCTTTTCCAGCTGGATAAATAAATTTTAATAATGGGTGTCCACTTGTTACGGTTTTAGTCTTATTTTTATTTGTTGCCTTTGTGTATATAACTGCTTTTTAAAACATTTTTTGTATAAATTGCCTTGAGACGGTGGTTTAGAAGGCAATCAATTGTTTTGTAAAAATATTTTTAAAATCCTTTTGACATTTATGCATTTCACTAATTTTAGAATCATTTTGACATTTCAAGGTTTGACTTCCTTCCTCCTCTTTCTGCGGTTCCTTAAATTTATTTTTAATATCTTCTGCATATCCAAATTAACCTAATTTGCTCATTTATTAATCTTCTTTAAATATATACTGGTATGAAACTGCAGGTTATTACAATAATCCTACCAATGTTTTTATCTGTTTACAATTTATCTGTAAATATTCAATAAACCATTTCCATTCTTTTAATTTTTAAAAAGTGTTATCTTGATTTCTTATTCTTTTGGTAAGTTTCACCATAGAAGGCAATCATATTTAAGGAAATCAATAAATCATTGTTACAAATAATGTGATAATAATTTTTACTTTTTCTACTGGCATCTGACCAGGGTTAATCCTCCTGTGGATTTTTGTTAAATGGGAAAACGGTAGATAAACAGAAGCAGAGCTATAGAAAGAGATACACAGAAGATATACACAAATAGATAAATCTCGCTGGACCAAAAGAATAAGAATTGTGATGCTGACACACAGTCGTTAAACCCGTTGAGTATTGCTGATTAATTTACTTGCATTTCTGAAAATATATTATCATCAAGCAGAGTAAAAGGGAACCTTACCGAGAGAGGACACGATCCTGCAAATCTCCTTCATAATTTGGCTGTGCAGGGCTCTCTGGTCAGGACCCAGCAGAGCCCATTCCTCTTCAGTGAAACTGAGTCCTGAGAGGGAGAGGGGGGGAAATGCTTCCTTGCAAATATCAAAATAGACCGGCCTACAAGCAAAATCCCAAAGCCTTGTTAAGGGGAGGTGAATGGGCATTACCCTCAGGATTAATATACATTGGTACCTTGGTTCTCAAACTTAACCCATTCCGGAGGTCTGTTCCCAAACCAAAGCATTCCAAAACAAGGTGCGCTTTCCCATAGAAAGTATTGCAAAAGGCATTAATCCGTCCCAGACTTCTGAAAACAACCCCTAAAACAGCAATTAAACATCAATTTTACCATCTAATGAGACCATTGATCCATAAAATGAAAGCAATAAACAATGTACTGCAACCACACAATCATTCAATCAGTAGCTGAACTGGGTTCCACACAGTCACAAAAACAAAACAAAAG